TTATTGTCTTATGATCAGAAGTATGGAGTAAAATAAATTAATTTGTATTAAAATGATTATTTTACAATATATTTGTTGCATATACTTACTCTAAAATAGTATGATACATTTTGAAGTACCTACTACCTACTGCAATATTTTGACATACCTACCTATACCTATCTATCTATTTATTGAAAAAACCAAAATATAAAACATTATTTATGTTATGCCCAATAATTAACTTAATGTATTACCTCATATCACCTTAACAATTGTAATAATTGATACCCAGGTAATATAATATAATATTATTTGATTAATATTTATTTTAATATGTTTGCATAAAATTATAATATTTAATTCACTTAATGGAATATCATATTTTTTGCTATATTGCTTGTTAGATAGATAGATTAAATGCATATTGCTTAGGTAATGCTTACATAGACACTAATGCTTTCCAGAAAGATGATGAGCCTGTCGAGTTGACCGCTTGTAATGTATTGGATAATGGTAATGGATCTAATTCTAATAATGAAACTAGTAGTACTGGTGATTTTAAGGACGAGGTAGAGGAAGAGAGAGAACAAGAAAATGTAGTTGATAATATTGTGAGTATTTCTTTAACATTTAAACAAAAGAATTATATTATAATGTAATTATTAGATGTGGAATGATTTTTTTTATTATTGTAATTTTAATTTTAATGTTTTATTTTACAATATCATTTATTGGGATATGTATATACTTTAATACTTATTATAATGTATATTGTATTTATAAATTAAAATTATATAGTTTACATCAATCTAATGTTAAGGCTAAATACTATTATTACAATGAAACATTAATTATGTACATAGGTTCAATTACCTTCAAGTTTACTACAACGACCTGATAACCCCAGTGATATATCATTAACTAAAAGTGATAAACCAGTACAGCCTGAAAAAATATTTCCTGCTACCAATGGTCGAAGGTTTTCTAGTAAATTCTATGAAAAGCACAATTGGGTAGAGTATTCAGTGTTAAATGATTCATTATTTTGTTTTCCGTGTCGTCACTTTGCTGCTAACCTTACAGCATCTGGACAAACTACAGACCAAAAATGTTTTGTTGATTATGGTTCTAAATGCAAAAATTGGAAAGAAATAACAAAATGTTTATCTAAGCATAGTAGTTATGAAAGACATATTATTTCTACACAGCGTTGGTATGATTATCAACTAGTTCAAACAAATAATAAACATTCTGTAGCAAACCAACTAATTAATTTTAGAAAACAAAACATTATTGAAAATAGAAGCCATGTACACTTTTTATTTAAGGCAGCACTTTATTTATCCAAACAAGGTTTAGCCTTTCGTGGACACATTGAGTCTGAGTTATCAAAAAATAAAGGAAATTTTATTGAAATCTTAGAAATGTTTGCAAGTGATGAGATGAAGTTACGCTTACAGGCCCGGTATGGTCACTATACTAATCCGGTGTATCAAAATGATTTTATTCAAATTATTGCCACATTAACAAGACAACACATATTAGGTTCAATAAATACATTTGGCGTTTACACTATCATGGTTGATGAAACAAAGGATTTATCCAAAAAAGAACAAATGAGTTTTTTATTAAGATTTGTGGATAATGACTTAAACATTTGTGAAAAATCAATTGGCCGCTATCACATGACAAATTCAAATGCTATGAGTTTAGCAAGTGAAATATTCAAAATATTGTCTACAAATAAATTAGACAAAATGAACTGTATTGGGCAATGTTATGACGGTGCTTCCGTTATGAGTGGGAAATTTTCAGGAGTTCAAGAAAGAGTACGTTCAGAAGTTCCTCATGCCATATACATCCATTGTTATGCCCATCGATTGAACTTATATTTAGTTCAAACACTCCAAAATATACCTTACATCAATAATTTTTTTAACACTATACAAGATTTGTATAAATTTATTATGAATAGCCAGATAAGGTATGAGCTTTTTGTTAAGGCTCAAAAAGATAAAAATCTTGATGGCATCCATTTAGAAAGATTGATAGAAACAAGATGGGCATATTGGTACACATGAATTAAAAAAATTAATATGCGTTTTTCTGAATTATTAGAAGTTCTTTCAGTTCTTAGTAATGAAAGTGATCACCCCAAGTAGGTCACAAGGTTAAAAAAAAATGCATTTAGTCATGCACTAAGTCATCCGAGCCGGGTGTAGTAAACCGACGGAGTCGCTCTACTATTTTTTTTAATTACATTAACATATTATAATTACAATTCACACTACTATTATACTACTATCTTCCTGGACCTCGAGAATGACAGTTTAATCGATACCAGATTCAACCGCGTATCGATTACAAATAAGTACGAAAACAGAGCAATAAATTAGAT